ACCCTGCACGCTGCACGCTGCTCTCTATTTTTCCTGCATGCCCAAATTTGCCTGATTTGGGCTCAATAGGCCCAATTTGTCCAAGCCCACATATGGGCTGGACCCAACATGTTCTACCAATAGTTACTGATAAACCCATTAGTCTGTGGCACAAAGTGAAGCCTGTTAGTATCTTTATTTACTATGGTCATCGAATGCCTTTTTGGTTTTCGTTGCAAATGGTAATAAGTTTGGATAAGGGATGTTACTATGATTAATTGACTTCTGCTGATGCCCCGAAGGTGACAAATGGGTTTTGGATTGCTGTGGAAAGGTCGAATGCGACTGCTAAATGTTTGAAAAGAGCCTCAATGTTAGTGTCGTGGACTTTGGAAGCTATCTATCCTGAGTTATTTCGTTCGAAGCTTCTTCGTGGCCACATTTTGACCTCTCGATTCTTACCCGTCTACTAATGAGTATTCTTGACGAGGAACGATTGACCAATCTAATCGACTTGTATTGAGAGCCTTTCCATCTGATCGATAAACCTTCTCGCCTCCGATCGATGAGGTCCCTCTAATGCCTATTCTCAAAATAATGATTATTATGTGATGGTTTATCTTTTATAGCCGGTCTCCCCTACTCACGAACGGTGAAAAATAATATTCTAAATAACAAAATATATTCATTCTCTAATATTTTCTATTCGATGGAGCAGATATTGACATGGGGTGGATCGATGGTTGAAAGTTTTTGTATTTTTTTATTGAGTTATCATAAGGCCATCGGTCACTTTCCTAAAGCTATTGCAAAAGGTCGATCGTCACATTGTGATAGAGTTAGTGATTGCGAAGAAAAGAAACATTGAACTCAGGAGGCCTCCAAGGGAAGAAAGGAGTTCATGCTTATAAAACTTAGAGCGCCCCGTAATGCTAAATTGAGGGAAGATCGGACACCCCCTCATAGAGAATTTACTCTATTGAACATGTCACATATTGACTTATTCATATAGATAAGAGATAAAGACTTGCTTCGCACCCCTCACTCATTATGGGTTTCTCCAACTCATTGAAGCTGCTCAAAATACTATTGCTTCTATTAGTCAGATGACGATGGAAGTGATAGTGCCCGATGTAGCAGTTGGATGATGATGCCCTTCCTAGCTCCCATTGTCTCGGGAGTTATTAGGAGCTCGGGAGGATGAAGGGGCTTCGAACCCTCTTCGATGCTAGTTGGGCGATGGCGATGACGGTGGTGGTGCGATGATAGTAGGATGTTTGCCAAGGCATGCCTCAACAACAATTGTTTAGTCATGGCTGTTTGTTGTTGCATGAGCCACTTTGGTACTTCCAAATGAGACTCATCCCTCCTTTGAGTCCGAGCCGCCACCTCGGCTCTCCTAGTTGGGGGACGTTTGTTGGTCCCTCTTCCTCCCTCAACATTGAGGGGCTTTAAACGCTTCTATAAGGCGAAACACATTACCACAAATATCCAATTTTGCATGAAAAAGACATGTCAACTCAAATCCTACTTACAAAAGTAAAATGAGGGGAAGATTCAGATAATGATCATGAGGATTAGGGTTGATCTTAGTTTTACTGAACCAAGTCACGCTCATTTGCAATATGATCATGGATTCAAACAAAACGACTGATAATTGACGTTGTTGCTCCTAATTCGACTCGCTCAGCCTCGGAATCCAATTCTAAATCTCCCCAATGGATCATGTCATGTCGATGGGCCACCCCCTCTATGAAGGAACAAAAAGTATCTCTTTTTTTAAGCTTTGTTAGAAGAGGTTGCTCGCACGGCGTGTGTTCCAATTGGTTGAATGGTTAATCACACGGTCTAAGTCCCAACCAATCAAACAACAATGCACAACTCATGGGCTAAGCGTATAGTTCAACAATGCACAACCCATGGGCTAAGTGTGTGTTTTGATGACGTATAGCTCATGGGTTAATTGTACGTTTCGATAATGCATAGCACATGGGCCAATGTGTATTTTGACTAGTTCAACTATATTTAAATTTCTAATCTTGAGGATCGACTTTATTATCGGATGAGCATTGATTAGAAATGCTCGAAACTCAATTTTGTAGGGTCGACACATCGTTGCAAAACATAGCTCTAGAACGAGCCTACGTTGCATACGATTTATCTCTTTATCTCAACAATCCGAATCGGCCTTCACATGTAAATATAAAAATAGTAGCTCAAATCTGATATAAAATAAGCTTCATTATCTAAGGTAATTAATAGGATTTAAATAAATATAATGAATTGATAGGTACCAACTCACCGTCATCCCCAATCTCGCCACTTCAAATGGTCAGACCGAGCTGCAATTTGCGGTCGATCTGCTACCGAATACTCTCCACCCGTCATGCGATGATGGATACAGGTCGACATCAAGCCTCCGCATCAAGGCTACGCCACATGACTCCGGCGCACAAAGACCGCGCAGATGGACGTCGTAATCGCAGTCGTTGTCGTCGTGTCCATCGCCGTCGTTAGCGTCATGTCTCGACGAATGGCTGCCACCGAAACCTTGACCACTGTTGCGTGAGGCTGCCGCTTGTCCTCTTCCGTACACAGGATAAACTTAAAAGGCGCATCCAACCAGAATCCAACAAGACGCTAATCTAAAATCTCCCGGCGGATTCGGTCGATGTTCGGTCGGGTTCTTCTTCTTCTTCTTCTTCGAACGAGTGGCTTGTGGTGGCATCGAGTCCCACATTTTTTATACCCTCATCGTCCCCACCTCCGGGCCTCTGAGGGCTCACCACATACTTATATTCTCCAGAATCTTCTCTCACTTTCTGGCCACAATCGGATTTGTCCTCCCAAAGGACGAAGCAGCCACTCCTGCTATAGAGAAGGATCGCCCACAATTTGGTAGTCAGACTACTACCGACACCCCCTGCTTCTTCCTATGAACACCTTCTAAGTTTCAATGCATCTCTCTCACTCTATGTGTATATTTGTTTGTGTATCATGCAAATATACAGATAGGAGGCTGGGATTGTTCTGCTGCGTTTTGTTGTTGGACTTGGTGGGGTGTCTGTAATAAGGAAGGAGAATGGATCACCCGCTGCTGGGGTCGTTGTTGAGGGGCCGGCGGCTGGAGAGCTGCCTCGAGGCGAAGGTGCGGTCGGTGGAGGAGCACGAGGAGGCGGCGGTGAGGCGGCCGGAGAAGGCCGACGACGGGTGGGTGAGCGTCGCCGTGTCAGGCGCCCGGGTTGTCGCCTGCTTCCTGACGATGATGGTGACGACGGCGGTGTGGGCGGGCATCATGCTCCTGCTGCTGCCGTGGCCCTACGAGAGGATCCGCCAGGGCAACCTGTATGGGCACGTCACCGGCCGATTGATGGTAATAAGGAAACCAATCAAAAAGAAATTGTCCAAATTAATTGTGTTTTCTTTCTTATGATCTGTCACTGATGCTCTTAACTCTTCCAGATGTGGATTCTGGGAAATCCCATAAAGATACAAGGATCCGAGTTCTCTACCACGAGGGCCATCTATATCTGTAATCATGCGTCTCCCATCGACATCTTTCTGGTAATGTGGCTGACGCCCATCGGCACTGTAGGCATAGCCAAAAAAGAGGTGGGTGTGGCGACCAATTCACCTACCAAAACTCCATCGAGATTAATATCAGAAATCAGACATCGAATATTTCTGTGCTATCTTTCTCAGATTATATGGTATCCACTGTTCGGTCAGCTGTATGTGTTGGCGAAGCATCTCCGCATCGACCGCTCCAACCCCGCTGCTGCCGTCGAATCACTGAAAGAGGTTTCGCTCGCTTCTGCACAACACATTCTTCACGAACCTGTGCGATATTATGTGTGTAATGAACTTTGAATTCTCGAGCTCAGGCTGCTCGTGCAGTAAGGAACAACGACTTGTCGCTCGTCATTTTCCCGGAGGGCACTCGATCCAGATCAGGGAGGCTTCTTCCCTTTAAGAAGGTAGCTAAGCTACTCGGCACACCAAGTGCTTGTTTGTGCTTATGCCACCCACCTACCTGTCTCTCTCTGTTTTTGGCAGGGTTTCGTGCACATCGCACTGCAGACGCGGTTGCCGATAGTTCCGATGGTACTCACCGGCACACATCTAGCTTGGAGGAAGGATAGCTTGAGGGTGAGACCGGCACCGATCACGGTGAAGTACCTTCCGCCCATAAAGACAGATGAGTGGGAGAAGGACAAGATGAATGAGTACATAGAAATGATACACTCGTTGTATGTCCAACACTTGCCTGAGGCACAGAAGCCATCGGCGTAGGAGACGGGTAGAATTGTGTGCTCTTTATTACACCTTCGAGATGACGTGGTTATAGATGATTGTAATTGACATGCTCTCGTTCGCTGTGGGGTGTCTCACACTTCCAATCTGCACTCAGTAGGAAGAATCTAAGTAGCTCGAGAGTCGGTCGAATGAAATAGAGATGCGACAATCAATTAATAAACCTTTCCTGCTCATCTTTTTTGTAAGACTTTAAATTGACTGAAATAGGTGTGTATGCATAAGGACCAGTGAATCTTAAAGATGGATTGTAATTGAATGGATAAACCTGTGATTCCACGACAAAGACAACAGAGTCTGATGTGATGTGAAAAATGTGGACATTTTAAATCCAAGAGTAGTCACAACATTCCTGATAGATTCATAGTAAATTATATCATCATCATCATCATCATCATCATCATCATATATATATATATATATATCTTCAGATCCTTGTTTCCAGCAGAAACTGAAGGCTGGTCACTCTCCAATACAAAACATGGTCTCAGTGACAGGCACCAGAAGAATAAACCTTAGAACATATATATATATATATATATAACATGTAAGTTCCACAAGGTTAATTGTTTCTTTAAAACTTGAATCATTCTTGGGAAGACTAGCCCATCCAATCCTAATATCAACATATGTAGGCTTTAAGAGAAGGCTTGCACCCCCACGCTCAGCAAAGTTCTACCAGCAACAACAACAACCAAAATAAGGCAAGACCAACAACCAGAGCTTAGGCACTATGTTATTATTTCTAACGAGTAGGACCATTTCTTATTCTACCCATTGGTTTTCATCTAAGAAGTTGAGTCTTAAGGTACAGCCAGAGCCAGATGGTTTCGTTCATCAGCCATGGAATTTCAGTTCACCATTCAGGTGTTCCTTCTTATTGGATAAATTGCTGCGCATTGTCTGCAAAATCAAACTGGTCATTACCTGTCTCCGGATCTTAGCAGTTGTTCAATCAAGTAATCTTGAAATGTCAGTGAACATAGTGGGCCTCGACACGTTCTGGTGATTCTTTGGTCTGATGCATCTTTTCGTTTGCTCCTGATGCCTCAACCATGCTCGTAGATGATTCTTTGACCTGGTACATGCCCTGTTCTACTCCTAAGGACTCGATAACCTTTATGCTTAGATCTTCTGATGGAACATCCAAGATCATTTGAGATGTTTCTTTATTAACAGCAGCTAGGCCCAGAAAATCCTCAGCTTTCGCATCGTCAACCACCACCTGCTGAGATGCAGCTGGTGCAGGTTCCTCATTGGCATCATTCAATGTGCTTTTGGGTAAAGTCTGGGGAATACAAGCTTGAACCTGCAAAGCACGAGGGACATCAAGTTCAGTGTCAAAATCATTTGTTGCTACTTAATATGTAATGGCTGAGTATCCGCAACACTAGGTGCTACTTCATTTTACTCAGCTGAGGAGCAGTGTGAGGAAGCCTAGAGGTTGCAGGTGATTGATTTACAGCTTTGAAAGGGGCAGCAGAAGACGTAGGTACAGCTTGCACTGGTACTGAAACAAGTGTCTCACTAAGCGTTTCATCCACTGAAAAGGAGGTTCCATTTGGTGTTGCCACAGGGGCAAGCAACGGCGCAATATCATTCTCTGTTGAAACAGGAATACAGAGACGGGGATCAAACACCAAGCCCTTCAAGACATCTCCAGTATTGGCCACTCGAACAGTGAGCAGATATCCAGCATCAAAGGTTCCATCCAGAGTGCCACAAACTGCCTGGCCAAGTAGACCATTAGGTCCATGGCTTGAAGTGACAGCTGAATTAGCTCGTGTGGGGATAACTTGGGAGTGATGAACAGAATCGGCAATTGGACAAGCCTGAGCTGGAACAGCTTCGAGCCTATGACCAAGACAAGCTGATGGATTAGCTCTACTAGTTGCTTGTGTTCCGTAACAGAATCAAGTGTAATCGGTTTGCAAAAGCTTTGTGATGTAGGTACCTTTGATGTTGTTGGTAACTAGGATTATCATAATCATGCTTTCGAGGACGACCACGTTTGCGCTTTAGAGGTAGGTTAGCTGGATCAACAGGGGTGATCTCTTGATTCTGTTGAGCCATGCTATCTCTGGCTGAGTTTATGCATCACACTGTCAGGTTAATTATTCCTTGAAACAGTGGAACCCACTTTTTAGTTAACTGTCAGCTCTTCTTCTGTAACAAAATTGCCCAGAAACATTTAAAAACTCACCAAGTACTTTCAAATTAAAGAACATGATCCAACCTCTGTTAGTCACATAAGACTTAACAAAAATTAAGCCAGCAAATCATGCATGTTACGAACAAACAAAACATCACATATTGAACAAAGAATGGCTTCAGTTGTACTATTGTTGTACTACTCCTAAGTAGAAAAACAAGTGCTACCATTTTCGCTCAGAATTAGTTTTGCTATGTAGGTTTCAGTCACCAAAAAAAATCATCGTCGAAATATCTAACATTCCAAAATCATTCAAAATTAAGTTAAGGGAGCAAACAAAAAGGTCCTCATCAGTAGCATGTTTCTGGATGGGGAGCAATTTTGGAAACCAGCATGTCATATGCAATTTTTCCTTACTCATCGTTAAATAACAAAGCCTGCTAACCAACTGTAGGAAGGCCAATGGAATTGCTAACAGGAATTTCACAAGTGAAATCCAACATTAATGTTTGCAAATATACCTTTTTCCCTAACAAATTACTACTATAAACTCACATTGTTGTTGTAACAAAAACCCCAAAATTATTGTATATTGGAAGGTGTGATTTGATTCTAAACTATGTATTGGTCACTTATACCTCTTAGGTAGGACATGGCCTGAGGGATTTGATCACTAAAAGTGAAATTGATTTTTTCCGCCAAGTGTTTGGCCGTGAGAATGAAATTTCAATTCCCATTCCCGAAGAAATTCAATTCCTTTTCCGAAGCAAATTTCATTCCCAACAACTTCAGAAAATTGTTCTTCACTGATTAAAAATGTCTTTGTTTGTATGTCAAAGTCACACCAACACAAATATGTACCTTACTAAACGTTTTATTCATAATATATTAAAGTAATTAAAATTTTTAAAATTCAAATATAATTATTAAATTGAAGTACATCATTGGCATGCTTCTAATAGGGTAATACTAATTATACCAATACAGGAATAAACAGAAGATGAACTCCTTAAACACAAATTTAAAGAGTTGAAGAACCAAACATTTGGACAAAATTGGTTTTTCTGGTCACAATTCCAATATATTTCTAATTTGATTTTGATGATGTACCAAAGACACAACTTTTTTCTTCTCCAAGAGGAGAGTTGAGATGTTCTAATTAGGATTAGCAGATGATAAAGGGAAAACCATCATTGATTACCGATCATCATTAAACATGTGTTCGAATGAATATTTGTTAGTCCTTCCAAGTTATCATTTACAGTGTTCTTTTATAATTATGTGATAATTTGATAGTCATTTTCTTTTAGATTTGCGGTATCATTTAGCCTGCCTTGGTCAAATAGTATATCCTACCTTGGTCAAAAACAAATATTGCCCTTCAACTTCTGGTTATGTCTTAGTAAAACCAACAGATTTGTATATTAGTATTATAGGGGTAAAGAATGAAAGAAATATTTGCTTTGGGGTATTAAATAATACATCTTTGCTTTCGCAACACGCATTTCGAACAAGCTCGACAGTCCACATTTCTGTTTTTAAGTTTTAATTTATGGAAGTGAAAAGAAACAATTTTCATAGTAAACCAACTTCCTATCACATGTATAAGTCCCTAAAAATTGGTCTTAACCATTCGAAACCCCAAACGTGTAGAAACCCTCATGTAATTAATACAGATCCACAAAAGAGGGGAAGATTTTGCCCATGTTTCCGAGTCGATACACTACCCAAACTAAGAATCAAAACCGAACCCTTTCATCTCCACCAAATCCAAAAGCCATTGAAGGACAAGCAAAAGGATCAACCTTTAGCCGGGAAAAATTCTCATTTTGGACATAAAAAATGGTTTTTTTACCGATTCGAGACAGATAGAATTTTGTTGGATTGAGAAAAAGAAAACCTAACTCACATTTCTCCTGCTCGGTCATTCGGCCGAATCCCACGAAGAACAAACGGGCCAAGAGACGGGACAGCACCGAGAGGGAAGAGAACGAGCACCACAACCAGATCACGCCCCAAGAGCTGAAGAGAAGAGGAACCCTAGATCCCTTTCCCTCTATGCTTTCCCTCACTTTCAGTCTCCGTCGCTCGCTCGCGGGCTGGCTTTCGCAGTGAGATCAGTTTCGGCAAGGGAGGATATATGTCTTAACATGAGGTGGTGGGAGAGGGAGCGAGTTCGGGAGGAAAAGCTCGCGTCCATCAATGGCGTCTCGGTCGCATTAAAACACGACATTCCCCGCCACCCACGGCAGTGCAGCACGAATCAAGAGGCTTTCTCGAGGATTGGTGGCCGTCAGATCTGTCGGCTTGGCCACGCGCTCCGCCCTGGTGGCCGCACGAGGCAGTGGCTGCCTTTGATCCGAGTAATAAGCACCCTCCAAAAAAAAACGGAATAACAAAAAAATATAAAATAAAAAATAAAAAAAAAGAAAAAGAAAAAATGGGACAAAATAACTGAGAATTATATAAAATCGGATACGCATGATTTAGTCTAAAACTATATTTGTTTATATTCTTATATCACATTTCACTAGTGATTTTCTATAAATTCTATCACATTTCACTAGTGATTTTCTATAAAACCACTATCGTTAAAGATGAAGGAGGGCTTAACATTATGGATATTTATATTTCTAAAATATCTTTTCAAGTCTTCTTATCTAATAGCCTTTGGATTAGTTTTGTTAAGATCAAGTGTGATTAAATTCATGAGATCTCTGAATTATGTTAATATGTGTTTTGTTTACTTTCTCTGGCAAAGTACCTCAAGGGTAAAGATAACCCGAGGGGTTATCTCACTTCTCAATTAATATGAGACTAAATATCATTATCAGTTTACTCCCCTTAGGGGAGTCAAATGGAGATTCATATATTCCTTCTAGAACTAAAATATTATTACCTTGATATTATCGATCATAGATCGACACCACTCAGTTTTGTCCCAAAGGCATAAAGTCAGGCCCTCGTGATAGCTAAGAGGGGTGATTGCTATAGGGAGTGGGATGACCAAGGGGGATCCGAGATAGTCTTCGTGGCTCTGTTGTAGACTCTATCCTCCTTAGGGATCATGTACAAAGGTCGACGTTTAGTGAATTTTCCAACATGACCCATCCGATGATTAAATTAGTTTTTCATAGAGTGTGTGGAGACTAGAGGATACAAAGTGTGGAGAGTCTAATCCCTGTTTAGACATCAAGGGTTTGTTCTTATAACTCGAAAGCATGACGATCATGATCAACAAGTGACTGATCTATGTATCCTTCCTCTATGATCAATTTATGTGGACGGTTGATCCGTACAGCCTCCTATTACCCATTGTTTGCCAAGAGCGGCAAGTGAGGCATTGCCTACCAATCCTGACAATTAACAAAGTTAGCCCGAATGACTTCCTTTGGTCTACCATCCGTAGAAGCCGACAAAAGGGGGGTGCGGATTAGTTCAGCCATTGGGGGGCTATTGTCCTCGATTGGCGCTAAGATTGGTCCATATTGTCTGTTGGATTGCAATCCATGATGACCGAGTAAGGAAAGGGGAACAGTTTGGAATTATTTATAAAATCATCTTTATGTTGATAGAATGCAGGTTTTGGGTTTTCGGAACTCCTTTTTGTGATTCTCATTCGGAAACTTTAGAACACTTGTTTTTCCAATGCTGATACTCTTTAGCTATGTGGCATACTATTCAATTCAGGTTAAGTTGAATTATGTTTTCCAATCCTTTTCCTCTTGGCCTGAATCCTTTTCTCCATCTTTCAATCTTAGCATCAAAGCTGTCGTTGCTACTTCTTTTTTGATGCTTTGGTACGCTCGAAACAGTGCTGTCTTTGACAACTCCAAACCTATCCCCCCAGGCTCTATGTAGTAGAAGAAGAATCCTTGCTTCTATGAGGAATTCTAATCCTCTCCACTCCACTCGTCTGAGAACAGCCATGAGGGTGGCTTGGAGTTTGTCCTCCGAAAAAATGATGGCTCTTGTATTCTGGATGAATGCAGGTTTATCCAACTCGTTCTGGAGGGTCTTATAGCTGCTATTCAACAAGGCATGCAATCCATCCACACTGAATCCGATTCCAAAATCCTTGTAGATATACTTGCCGACAAGTCCTCATCGCCCTGGAGAATTCGAAACATTGTTGGCAACATCTTTTGTTTACTCTGATCTTTTACTGCTTACTCTTTCAACCATATTTTTCGTGAGAGAAACCAAATAGCGAATTGGCAGATCTTATCTGGAGTGATGTTGTCTCATCTGAGCTCTCTTCTTTGTTAAGCCCATATATTTTGTGTTATACTTTATATATATATAGTTTATACATATATAGGGAGAGAGAGAGAGAGAGAGAGAGAGAGAGAGAGAGG